AATTGGGAATAATCATTTATTGTTATCAGCGCACGAGTTAAATGGTACCTTTCTACGGTACATAAGTACATTACCATTTCATCGATCTGCAAAAAGTCCTGCTTCGTCGTGGACCGCATTCCTAGAGAACAAATTGAAGCACGTCTGGTTATGGCGAACAATCCGAAAGTGAAACTAAGATGCTGGCGACCCCCCATGGGATACACCTTATCGTAGTGGTGGGGTTCAGTAGTCCCTATTTTAATGGTGAATCTAAGCACCCAGGTGTGTATCTGCTAGACTCCTAGGTTTTAACCCGGGAAAGTTTGATGGATGAGCTACCCAATTCTATTAAATTTGGTTGAACCAGGGGTTGAACGGAGGCTGCACCATTCGTATGCTTTATGCAGGAGATTATTAACGAAAATATACTCGACGTACGTTACTTATCAAATGTGATAAAAGGACTTTTATCAACATGAGCAAGCACTTAACTCTTGAAGCGTACGAGATAGACATTTGGTCAACTTCTGATTCCAGGCTTTCTGGTAAAAGGTCGATTGCCACTTGTGAATGCAGAGGCAGAGTTTTGAAAAATCGGACTCGACTATGACTCGTTAAAGATGACAAAGGAAACTTCATCGATACGAGTACTCAGGGTGGTGGGAGCCCCAGGGTTTGGCTACCCTTGCCCATTACATTGATGTCGGACTCTGAGGGTGTAGTATGGCTTGAAGAGAATAAATTCTGCCTAATATTCTCAATAGCGAAAAAATTGAGGAGGCAATATTTTTGCCTTTACACACTTGATAGCCAAACGGCTGAGAAAATGCTACAAGCAACTAAAAAAACTAAGATATGGTGGGGATTATTCCATGAGAGGAGAATTTCCATGAATTTTTAGGAGCTATTACTACTAGACGCTATTATTACGCTCCCCGTTTTCCCATTCCAAGTTTTGAACAAGGGAAATGCGAGAGGCGAGGAAAATTAGGAAACCATTCCTTAATTTTTATAACAAACTGGACCTTGATGAATAGAGAATTGAAATGCTTTTTAAACGGTGGTCACCTTTAATTGATCTGTAAATTTCCAAATAGATCTGTAAATTAACCCACTCTCTACGAAAGAAAAAATTCCAGCCGAGAAGCGACTGCGCACCACAAAGTCAAAAACAAAAATTCCTGCAAAAACTAACTGAAACCCATGGTACATGATCGGAAATAATTCGCGTAAAAGTGAATTTCCTCTATATATCATTAAATATTAATCCCAGCTTATAGAATCTTTTATGTAGAGAATTTTAGAGAGATTACTTTTTCGCTATAGGCCAGCGTTTACGAGATATTCATAAAAAACTAAAAAAGACCCTTGTACCCCTTCACCCCTTAGCTTTTTCCCATCCATCAGTGCTTTTAGTATGTTGTTTAAGACACTTTCACCTACAACTATACCAAAATTCACTTTTTACACGTATTATTTTCTCTATTTGGGAGTTTTTGGTCTTCGTTGAGTGGGCTAAATTCTTAGAGTAATTTGTTGCTACGTACAATGGCAGACGGTCAACATAACCACTCAAACAGCTGTCCAGCTGGCTCAATTAAGTACAGGTACTAACAAAATTAAAAGAAATAATTATGATTTTTCTAAGGCACGTCCGTCGTCCAGCCTCCACCACAACAAAAATTTCGATATTGACGTACATATTATTAATCTGAGAAATTTAGTAGCCTTAACCCCCCCAAAAGGCTGAAGAGTTAATTAAGACATTTTTACTTAACAAATGATATAATTCTCAGTACGAAATAGAGACATTTAACTTGAAAACTCTTATCTGGGTCCTAATTTGGGCTTGACTTTACACACAACTTACCAATTACAGATGAAAGAAGTTTATTCGACGTAGGTCCAGCCGAGAAGCGACTGCGAAACACAAAGTCAAAAATAAAAATTCCCGCAAAACTGAAACCCATGGTACATGATCGTCCAGTGACAAATCTGTCTAGTGACAATAAAATACTAGAATAAGGTATACTCGAGCATAAAACGAGGGAAATAGAAGTGGAAATACAAAAATCAATATTACTCGACTTCCAGGCCAAGCGAAGGCAGTTCTAAGACAGCCAGGTACAAATAATTTACAATTAAAATAGACTCATAAACATGATCTCTAAACTAACAAAGAATAAAGCAATTTCGAAGAGTTAATTCTATGGACCTCAATCAAGACCATTTTGAACCTCCTCGCGAGGTTTACACGGCTAGCCAACATTTTTGAACAGAGGGGCCAGGCCGGAGAAAAGTCATTCACGAAACTCATTAAATCGCATCCTACCGAATCTGCAGGAATAATTCTCATTCCCCATACCCAGTGGCCTGAGGTTTATGTCTCTTATTTAAATTTCAAAATCAATTGTGCTATTTTTCAACAAAGGCATCATCAATAAATTAATAATTAATTATGGCAATACCAGAATAAATTCAATAAATTCATTACGCCCCCAGATAAATCAAACAAAACCACTTTATCGCACAAGCGGATAACAAATTCGTGCTTGAATTTTTGAAGTCACCTTCCTGCGTATGGTAAAAATATAAAATACGTGCGGGAAGTTTCATAGTAAACTACATACACTACATCTAAAATATAACACCTGAAAGTTACCCACGCCTGTGGAAAAGTTTTGCGTAAAACGCGGTACCCTAAAGTATCCTATACACTCTGTAGATAATAATACCTTTAACTTTCATCAAACAAATAATAAAACTAACCCGGACGTCCAAACAGGGTAATATTAATTAAGCTAAAGGAATTATCATCCTCCACTCACAGTTTCTATAAACGCAATTGAAGCGAATCCTCAATGAAACTTCTACTGTTCATGAGAAAACAACGTATGCGCTCTATAGCAAATAAAAACTACCCTAAAGTACATCCTATGTTAATTAGCAATTACAAAGGAAAAAATAAAGTCACAGTGATCTGAAATTTGGAGGAACATACCTTTCTTAATGACAAAAAAGAAGACAATTTTCGGGCCCGCAAAGTCTTATCGATTTTCGAAACAACCACCCCTTTTTGAGAGGCATTGCTAAATGACTCCTGTCATCATTGACAGATTGGCATTAATCAAAAGTTCTACATGAAAATTGAAATTTTATATTAAAATACGATTTCAGGTGTAATTTAATACAAAACTCGTCAGTAAATTGACATTACTTGACTCGGATATTAAAGTACTCGGCCCCAAAGGGCCCCTATACTTCAATATTTCCTCGCCAGTAATATATCATTTTCCTGACTTATGTAAATAACCTCGGAAATAACTATTTTATTATACCTGAATGACAATCTCCATTTTGAACACTCAAATACGTGAGAAATTAAGCCTTTAAAACACACGTCCTTTAAAGTTGCTAAGTAATGATACTTCAAGTATGACTTTTGAAACTGCCATCTGGGGCTGAACATATAAAATCTTGTCGCTTTTAGTAAAACCTCTAGTGACATTTCCATGGCAATCATGGAATTACGAAAAATCGGCCCACTTAATTAGACATGTAATCTAGTATAACGTCAATATGATTTCATGGTATCTCCCTTATTTTTCAATTATTATTGCAGTATAACTGTATAAGAAAAAATACTATATGAAACACGTGTATAATGGGTCTTTAAAGTACTTGCAACTCGTTGCGCGTTAATTAAAGACTTGATTATACACTTTTCGCATAATATACTATTTTTTCATCGTATAGAGCTGTGCGGGGTAGCAACATTTTCGCAAAGATTCATATGAATATATTCGTGCCAACCCTGATTATCAAGCGCGTTTTACCATTATAATATCGAATAAATGAATCAAACCATATTATCCTTTGCCTGTAGAATGCTATAAATAAATTCATGTTGCCAGTGTAAAACCTAAACACTTATTATGAAAGATTCAAGAACCTGTGTTCAGAGTGAACAAAAATTTGCTGAATACACAACCTAACTATAGCGATAGCGTTTGTTGACGATATGACAGATGTGCCATAATGAAAAATCTGGTGCTGTTTTATCGTGGAGGTGCCAAATAATGATGTATTGCAGATACCCACTTTACTTTAAAGTTAAGTACAGTAAGAAATTATCCGCAATACTGCCACTAAGCTCATTTCCTTGGAATTTAACAAAAAGTTGTTAGTTGACAGTAGAAAAATTCAGAAATTGTGGTTACAATTTTATTACGGTTGAAATTACCACATTATTTGATCAATGTCAGTAGTGGATTACAACGGGCGATCAAAAAAGGATTGAGGTCGAGTCGCCTTTGGATGTGAAATATGATTTCCCATGCAAAGAAAAATTCAAAAGGTGACTCGCAGCATCTCTTTTATGTGCTGCAAGGGCGCCCACCTACATACGATCATTAAAGTTTAGCCTACCGGCTTCGAAATCATCTATCATAATCGAATTCGAATGTAAAAAAAAATTCAATGGCATTGAATGCTGTCACATTTCCGTTCCGAATTTCACAATCCAAAGTTCCCGAACTACGCCATTCAACTTTTTTCCAGTAAAAAATAGGCTCAATTTGCTTAATATCATAAATCAATTCAATCTAAAACATCTACTCGACAAATCAAAATTAGTAGCGTCATCCCTTAAATTCTATCAGACATTACATGTTATGATTAATTTCGGTTCACTCTCTGGCATAAATCCAAAACGCTTATTAAAACATCTCTACATTAGAATCTCGTTTGTGGAAGCTCGGCATAAAAAAAATTGGTCAAAATTAACAACGTCGATGTTCTACATCCACAAATTAAAGGAGCGATTTTTTCCCTCCTTCCCAAATTCCTTATTGTTAAGCGGTGCCCAACAGAACAACTGGCACATTTATCCTTCATCCTTCAGGATATTCTTCCCTTTTATTACTTCGCGGCCCCTCGGTCGGAATTGTTCGGTGGGGGTTTGAAAACTGGGGTCTAGAGAGCGTTTGGATCAAGTCGTGCTACTGCTACTACGCTTTTATTCAGTTTCAGACGTTTCAGTAGACAGTCGTTATCGAGCGTTTGTTTAGTGCATGTAGCCCGCTGTAGAGACGTCGCTCGCATGCGTGTATTTTTAAATAAACATTGCCCCCTTCGTTATGTTTTAGTTTGGAGTTCTTTTATTTGTACGCCGCAAATTTGGATTAAGTGCCCTTATTTAATAATTTAGTGCTTATTTATGTGGAAAAATGATGGAAAAATTGCCTAGGATTTTTTCGAAAGAGGCTCCAAGTCAAAAAGTGAGTGAATGAAGGTTGTTTTATTTTTAAACGATTACGTTATGCAAACGAGATGAATTTATTTATTTTCCATTTACACGTTGTTGTTAAGCAAACGTAACTGAGGTTTCCTTACGCTTTTACTTTTGTAATATTTATTCATAAAGTTTCAAGGATTCCAACCTTTGAAACGGTGAGGTTACATAGATCTTTTCTCCTGGTGGTTGTAATCAATATTTAATGCGATTTTACATCACGTCCCACTACGGCCTTATCATTTATTTTCGTTTTTCTTACACATTCCTTCGTCGCACCCCTCTCGCGAGCCTGGGCTTTATTTATTACGCGGTTAAACATAATCCCCAAGAATTTTGGCATATAAATTTTTTATCGAATAAGCCATAAACGCACTTGCGAAAGTGTATCCCTTAACTACCCTGCACATGAATTAATTTCATTTTCTAGTTTAAATGAATTAAATTCAATTCCTAGCGTTTTCAGTGTTGGGGAAACAATTTTTCTGAATTTAATTTAATAATACAGGTTTGTATAAACGGTTTCGAAGGTATTCCATATTAAAAATTTTTGGATTAGTGAATTGATTGGAATTATGTTTGTCGCTTTACCGTAAATAAGAATTATTTGCCTACCACCATAACATAGGTACCTATTTTAATCGGCCTGTCTCTTTTAATGACCAGTCGAGTCATGCTATTATTTTTATCTTGAATGTCGGAGTCGGAAAGAAAATCACCAATAGAAATTTGTGAACATTATCAAAGCCACTGTAACAGTATGATATATTGTTTGATAACATTTTGCAGAAGTTCGTCTCTTTAAGAAGATTTTAAATTCGTTAATTATAACGCATTTTCACGCTTTGTTTGACATTTCCATTGTCTAAGCGTAGAATTGAAATTGAAGCAAGTACATACTTGTTTCATTTTCACACCTAAAGTTGTTTCCCCAACATCCATGAACATATTCTAATGATGTAATGAAATCTAAAATCCCACAATTATAATAACTCTGAAACAGTGATGATTAACAATCAGCAATTGTTAATATAAATGAGAAATTACCTTCCTCGTTACCTTCCAAACTATTGGCAATGAAGTAGGTAATTTGGTGCCTTGTGTTTTTTTTGTTTGTGCTCAAGCAAAAATGTTGATAATCTGCTAAACTAAATGGTTGCAATTATTTTCAATAAAATGCACACAAATCGTAACTTGTTCGACAACCAACACCCTGATACGGTCCTAATGGCTACAAAGCAAGTCCCTAAAGCTGTTGTATTTCCACTTTGATGCTCGCATTTTTTCATGTACCTAGGTGGCTATCTCGGTTGCTATAGACTCTGTGAAACAGCTTTTCCGAAAGGTTTAACATTGCGACCCAGGTCTTCATGTTATAGAAAAAAGTGCTAAGGATTAGTCGAGGGATTAGTATTGACATGCCCTTTGAATCGTGAAGAATTCGCCCTAATTACTTAAAAATTTAAAATATTTTACCCTGCTGCCCAAGTCATCCGATGACAGAATAAAGGACTAAGAATTATTACTTATTAGCATTGAATAAAAACACTATTTTATTCTTGATTTTATTCAATAATCGAGTCAATAATGCTATTAGGTAGTCTCCTTTCCAATGAGTCTGGTAGAATTGCCATGGGTTACTTTGAAAATGCGTATTTTTTTTTACTCTGCAGCCCAATTATACAATGATTTATTCTCGGATTAATTATTATCAGCCGCTGTAGAACTTTCCTCGATTACCATATACAGGGTGGTGACTTGCGTAACGCACCATAGGGATTTCAATTTAAAATTCATTACATGCGATTATCGGCTCCCCAAATTATTGTAGAGCAAAAATGTAATAAGGTTTTTTGTAGAAAAAATTTTTTTACGCCAATCAACTGTATTAGTTTTCAATTATCTTTCATATAAAGACGGAAAATTGGAAAAATAACCCGCATCTTTTTCAATAATCTGCGATGCCATGGAATTTTCTAAAACAAACAGATATCCAGTTATCAATTAGCAGCAGTTCGAAATGGCTTTTATTTGTTACTCAGTTGTAAACGTTGATTAACAAGACAAAATGCAAACGGGTAAACGTCATGTTTAAACGCTACTGACTTGTAAAACTGACAGCAGACCTGTAAAAATTTTGCAAGTTAGTAATCTAGTAATTTCATTGGCCAGAATTAATGCGAAGTCTCTGTCACATGGATAATATGATATTTTAGACATTTCTTCAAGAGTAATTTAAGAACTAATTATTTACGTTTACTATTGTTTACAAATGAGTAACAAATAAAATATTGTACATTATACGCCAGGTAATAGTTTTTACTGGCTCTAGGAGATGAAGTATTTTTTTGCATCATATAAATTGAGGGGAGAATATAGAGTATTATTGGCCCTCGTGTTAACCTCTCTTTTGAAGAATCTTGTAGAACTTCCTTTAAAAATTAAAAAATGTTCACCTAAAAAATTCTATAGGATTATTATGGACCTGTCTGAAAATTAAAAATTGTATTTAACTAAATATTATTATTGGCCTCTCTTCTCGCCTCTCTTTTAGCGAATGCTGTAAAATTCGCATTCAAAATGTAACCTCGTATTTAACCCTACAGCCCGAATTTTAGTTTTACAAAAAAAATCTTAAAGATTTATTCACCGATTTTCTAATGAATCTTGTAGACCTCGCTTTCATTACCTTAAAAATTGAAAATTCTTGATCCAGCCCAACAGTATCCCAAAAGGATTATATTATTGGCGAAATTGTCTTGTTGGCCTCTATTCTAATTTATGCGATAGAATTGACATGTATTGTTAGAAATTTAACCCTGCACTCCAAGGTTTCATTTTACAAAAAGAACGCCCTAAGTATTGTTTATTGCTCGGTTTATTGACTTCTCTTATGAATCCTGTACATCGTCCTGTACCCCTGCGAGTCTCCTGTAGAACTCGCCATGATTACATTAACATTTTAAGATTTTTACCCCTACAGAGCAAATCTTCATTTTACAGAAAAAAGGACTAATAATGGTTCTTTCCCGTAACGAATCCTGTAAAATTCTTAATTCTAATTACTTTAAAAATTTTAAAATTTTATCCACGCGGACCAAGTTACCATTAGAAAGAAAATAGTCCTAAGGGTCAATATTGGCCTCCTTTGATTGCTTTAAACATTAAACATTTTTAACCTTACACGGCTTACACCCCAAATCTTAATTTTATAGAAAACATGTTTAAGGAACTGGCCTCGATTGTGTTAAAAATTTCCTCGAAAATTTCAAATTTGAAACCTCACGGCCCAAGTCTTCCTTTTACAGAAAAAGCCTCTCTTGTGATGAAGCCTCGGACGATGCATAAATTATATCGACCTTATTTTAAAGTAGATTCTTGAGTAGTGTAATTTAATATAATTGGAGCCCAAACACCTCTCAATAGAATTTTCCTGCCCCTATACTTATTTTTGCATATTAAATGCTACAAGTTCACATGAAATATGCAAAATCTATTGTCGGCTGGTTATGACGCGGGTTATTGCAAACTTTACACGTTATTCGATAAGGACCTAAAACAAATTATGTTAAAGTGGGAGAGATCTTTTTTTAAATTTATTTATTTTTGTTTGTTATCCCTCTCTTGTTCTGAGCCCAATTGAAATCTTAACCGCTGGCGCGATTTTGTTCTCTGAAAAAAAAAATCGAAAAACGGTCATATATTTTGAGGAAAAAATGGCTATAACAGCGAAATCATTCAAGTTAAGGATATTTGGTATGTTACACATGAAAAAATAAGTACTTTCCAATTCGTCAATAAAATGGGTGGACCATTTTTAAAAATCGCCTCTTTGTAACGCCGCTGTAACACAGCACGCTTATTAGTGACTAAACAATATTTTAGTAATATGGCGACAGCAATTGTGTAGAATTTTTCTCCTGCACTTTTTTGGACATCTATTATGGTAAAGGAATTATGATCCAAGGGGTCTTAGATACTACACCCTGTGTAGCTAAAATCATAAAATTCCTTGAAATGACAAAATCGGTTGAAAGCACTGGTGAACATCTTTTTTGAACGGAATCCTCGTTTACTTTTTACTCGAGTTATGACCGTTATGAATACAGCCATCTTCGTATGTTGCTGTTAAAAACCTTCGAGCAACTACACTAAAATGAGCTGGTGCACCATCATGCATAAACCACATTGTCTCCCAGTCAATGGTACACCCTCTTCTCGACCCTTTTTTACGTCTACCGTTCTTACAGTCCTTGGCCTTCCTGGTCCAATTAGCTTCAATGTTCCAGTCGAGGGTCCAGGGTCCAGTCTCACGAAGACGATGAATACTGAATAATTTCCTTTAAACTTTAAACCGTCGCCTAGCTTGGAATGAATTGCCACCAGCAAGATCATAAATGAAAAAAAATTGATTTTAATGTGTTGCACCCTCGGTTGCGCCTAAATTGAAGTTCAAAATTCAAGGCAAATTTTAGTAATGAGTGAGTTACCTTTCATCGTTGTGTGGATGGAAAAGGGAATGATCATGGAATTGCGATTCGGTTTGGGTTTTCTAAACTGCATATTTAAATTTCAATTTCAATTTTTATTATCTTTGTTTGTAATTGAACTTTAGCATCAACACATCCTCGTTGACAACATCCATTAATTGTAAAATGACTGATCTCGCTATCCCGCAATGGAAGTATGGAAAATGTAAGCTTATCAATTACCCATTCAAGATATACGGTGCTACAGAATAATTGGTGCATCAAAAATTAATTCCAATTTAATTGGAGATGGTACCATAATTCAAAATATTGATCTAATTCAATTTAAATCTCTATATTTGATTCGAGTGTAACATTCATTCTATTGTTTCTCTTCTAATTGGTACTTGAATGCCCACCAAATTAGCACTATTAAAAATGCTAGAAGCTTTCCTAGTGCTGCATGAGTTAAGTTAACTCGGTGCTTAGAGTTTGATAATTATAACCCGTTGGACAATTAAAGTGATAACATTCGAGCGTAGCGTACACACTTGAAAGAGAAAATATAATTAATACACACCCTCGTACACACCTATACGTATATTGTAGCGATCGATAATTTTTTGTCCGTTTGTAAAATTAGGTCGTTTATATCCAGTTCCCAGTTTAATGGCTGATTAAAAACATGAAATGTTTCATTGTACTGGCCTGGAAATTACATTTTTTTTATCTTTATGATGTACACTAAATACAACCGAATCAAAGCATATCGCTCAAATATAAAAAGATTTAGGTCAGGACATTGATTTTTTCATCAAATCAAAACGTAATGTTTTAATTAATTAACTATAAGAGCGTTATCTGTCGTTTTTTGCCAATTAAAATAAATCAACTTTTCTAAAAGCGGGGATTTAAAACCGAGCTTTTTGCCTAGACTGCATTTTCCGTAGGATGGAAAATGCATGTAAGCTGCTTTTCCCCCGACTTGTCTTTGCATAAAGGTGTTATTACTGGATTGTGTCCAATAATAGAAGGGGTTCATCGTACGATATCCTTATGTATCTATAAATAGGAGACGTACTTGTTGAGTATATAAGTTTGAAATAGGCGACACGATGAGATTAGATAATTGAGGATTTCTTATTAATGTTGTTTATTTAAGTTGACCTCAATATATTTTCGATGTGTCTATTAGATAGTCAAATGCTTTTTTATGTGAAGTATTATCGTAATGACACCATTTACCAATGAATTTTAATGGATGGGTTATGTGTACTGTTATTAGTTTCAATGTTTTATGATTACCACTAAAATTGATTACTATTAGCTTTGGTATTAACTTAATTGTATAATTGGTGCAAACAGGCTTCATTTCTGTGTAATTAGTCCAAATTCCCATATTTTTTTTATAACATTCATTACATTTTGGATTACTAATTAAGAATTAGTTTGGACAACTCTTAGAACTGATTAAAGTGATCCAATCAGACCCACTCTATAAACAAAGATTCTGTGTTTGCCTTTTTAAGGGGGAGCTCGGAGTCGAGATTCTTAATTGACAGTTCTTCAATAAACAGGAAAATACACCAAAATTTCCCCCCGATAGATTGAACCACGTGTCCAGCAATATGGTGGCATATTTTTAAGATAATTTGTTCAATTCATCATGCATTACTGTCGGTTTTCTGCTGAATTTTGGCAAGTCACCTCGTTCGTTGACATCATCTCTTGCTAGGTCGCTTCACACCAGCGAACTACGTAAATTACCTTCCTCTAAGCGTGTTGTAATTATTTTCAAAACAAAAAAAAAGCACGAAACATTAATTACTGTGAGAACTCATTCAATTACGTTCATCTGACCCCTGCAATTTACTTACACAAAAATGCCTTACGTGTACATTTCAATTATAGGCCAATTAAAAGTGGGAGAATCAGATAGGTATATACAATCGTAGAAAATATGTTGAATTGTGGGATTAATTTCCAGTTTTCCCATTTTAGAATCTTGTGGGCGTACTACAAACCAGTTGGTCTATCAAGTCACCTTGTAATGAAGAAAAATTTAATAACTTAAGTTTTGCAAAGTGACCTATATAGAAAGGGTACATTCTGATTAATTATTCATTTTTAATTTTCAACAAGTTTTGCAAACTTTTCACGAATTCTTTCTGATGTAAGCTTAATTAAAAGTATAATTAAACATTTGGTTAGTTTTATGCAAAGAAACGTTTTATTGAGTTTTTGATCTCGCGTTTAAATTACTTTTTGCTTGTATTTTCGCCGCTATTGCCTTTTAATTATGGCAACCGAGAGGTTAAATTGATATTTACGGGAAAAAAAAGAAGAGTAACGTGGGTCGTGTAAAAATTAATGGAGCGGTAGATGATTGTACAGCTTCTATTAAGAGTAAATCAGATTTTCGAGTGAGTACGTTTTAAATATCTCCTGAAGGGTTGCTTGCTTTACTTTGCCTTAAGCGTCTTAACCGGTAGGTTGAACTCAATTTGCGGCCTGAATATTACGTTCATCAAGTAGGTACGTTTTCGGATCAAAGGTTCTCCTTGCCATTGTTGTACCGGTTTAATTTTTAACACATTTTCTTTCGGACTTGTCATTCCGCATAGGAAATGAACTCGGAAATCACATAGTCTCTTGTTACGGAAACATTGATCACTTGAATTAAAATTATTGTTTAATATTCATGGCCGATCCAGAAGTTACATTGAAAGCAATGAGAATAATGGCTTAATTTTATAACGTAACTGGAGACGTCTTAATTAGTGGTTAGTTACTTATGGATATTAAATTATTATCTTGATGAAATTCCATAAAAGTGAGAATGTGCCCTCATCCTGCGATCCTAAGGTTTTGTTCGTTGTCCGGTCAAGAATTGCAGGAGATTTCAAAAGGATTTTTTCCTGCTGGCGTCTTCGTTTAGTGGTACTGGTACGTCATCTTGGAGTAGACATTTTAAAATTAGAGCATATCCCAAAACGTAAGTAAAGTCGGTTTTTCTATCCTCTTCTGTGTTTGTGGTATGCGCTGAGAAAAAATTAAATTAGTACGTAATTTCATCGAATATCATTAACATAAAGGCGAATTTCCTTGAAAATTGCATAACTTTAAAATGCACGCAGACGTTCACTTTTTGCTGTAATATGCTAGCAGGTCCTTTAAACAAAATCACTCAAAGAAATAGGTAATATTGATTTTATCACAAAAGTCAAACTTTCTTCATAGGTATTAAAATGTGACAGCAATTTTGCTCTGCAATTTCAAAACAAAATGCATCTAAAAGGTTTAAAAGATTGCTCACGAACCCTTTAAACTTGGTTTTTTGGTAATTTCAAAAAATGTCAACTCGTTTTTGCAAGATATCGCCTATTTTTGCAAATATGTATCACAAAAACACAAGAAATACCTAAAAATTAATTGGGACTTTAGGCATATGTACTCGAATTTTGCATTATTACGTTTTTTACGAGGTTTTTTTATCTTTTTCCCATATTGCACGAAATATGACACTCCGCCAGCTCGTGTGTTCAAATCTAGAGCTTGACAGTCCACTTGTACTAAAAAATAACTATTTTTATAGGGATCCACCGACACCGACATATCAGTCTACTTTACGTATATCGTATCGTCCGCCGATAAGTAGTGTAACCCGAGGTGTAACCGATTGTTTAACTATACAAGGTATAACAATTACGTTTGTAAAAAAAGTGAGTGGTATTCGAGGTGGTATTCTGGTATAGGGGACTCATTTTTCCAACTAAACCGCGAGATAAACCGCATATCTAAAATATTTCGTGTGGAAGCTACGCCCCCAAAATTTGCGGTTCTTCACTTGCGGCTTTACCTATAGGTTTTGGGTACCTATGCCTGTTTTGTTCTTTGTAAAAATATTTCTAAAATTCCGACCCCTGATTTCGGCGAATTTTGGAAATTGGAAAGAAATTTCAGGTTCAAGGCTTGTTTGGCCCTCAAAAAATGTTGGAGCTTAATGAAATTTTGTGGGTGCACTATTTAGCAACTATTAAACTATTTTTAAAAGAGTTATTCGTATTTTACCGCCGAGAAACTTATACTCGCCCTCGCCCTTCGAAAAAGTGCCCGCACCTGCAGCGTAAATCGAATGTAGACAAGATGCATATTTTTAAAATTTTTAAAAACTAAATTTGATTTTTAATTTTCAAAAATACCATCCGGAATTATTTTTCACGTCCCTGCTCATGGATCCGACAAGTGGGGTAAGTGAAAATCATTGCAAAATCATAAAGAATATACGAAAACTAAGCTAATCAAATAATTCTATACTCTTAAATATGCGTTTGTCAATAATCGCAAATGTGGTACTTTAAGGGCGACGATACACTTTGGACGTTCCGTTTATTTCGAAAAAATGTTTGTTTTTGGTCTCCTCCACTATACTATTTTTCACATATTTGAACTTTTTTCGTTAGGGGCCCAGAAAAATTCCTTCCTTGGTGCAAGCCTCGACACCATAACGAACCAAATAGCGGAAGAAGTAGAATAATAGCTCTTAAGATAAAGATTTAGTAGCGACACAGCCGTAGCGACGGACGGACAAAGCAGTGGCGTACGTAGAAATTTATTCTGGGGGGGGGGGGGGATTAAACAAGTTCGTGGCACATACAGTCACCCAGTGCGTACTAGAAGGGGGAGGGGGGGTAAGAAATAGAAATTGGGTTGCAGGTTGCTGATGCTGGTAGTCATTTATCTATTTATTATTGTACAGGCGAAAAAGATTAGATTAGAACGGTATTTTATTTCTTACTGCTGACAGGCCCCTTTATTGCTTTTGCTTTAATTAGTCAACGAAAACTTTGAATAATAGGTATATTTATGGGCAAAAAACCAATTTCGACAAAAAATTCAAAGGGCTGTAACTTTTGATCTAGTAGTCCGATCTTGGAACTGTTTGAATTTATGGATTCTACAGGCTACATTCTATAACAAAATATTTTTTTCCGATCGATCTGAGACAATTTTTTTTTCGGGGCAAAAAAAGGCATGTATAAACCTTCCTTTTTTTCCAAAAATCGACTGCACCAAAATTTCTCGGGAAAAAACTTTTTCTGATTAATTTGGGTGCGTAGAATCCAAAACGATTCGTAGTTTTTCGATTAGACGTCTCAATCAAAAGTTATGGGCAAAAAAATTCCTGTTTTTAAAATTTAAAATTCTTATTTTCGTCATTTCGTGAAAGGCAGGACGCAGGTACCTCACCTCAGTAGCAGTACTAAGTAACTGATACCTATTTGTTATTTTGGGCATCAATGTAGCAAATTGCCGATCGATAGCCAAATCGTTGACTGCCAACACTGATCACTCACTGAATAGTGAATACTGAATACTACAGAATATTTAGATTTTAGTGACTTTAGACTTTAACCAAAACCAAAATTGCTCTCTATATATACCTATATATTATTGCCTTTATTTTAAAGTGGGCGGAGCGGATATCGGAGTACAGTACAACCTCGACAATCCGAATACACGCTAGTCCGTAATCGCGATAGTCCGAAATAATTTTGTTCCTCGTAACTACGATGACACTCCTAAAGACGTTGAAAAGAATAAAGTTTATTTCTTAATGAATGTGTTCAAATTTATTATTTTCACTAGTTTCGCGATAATCCGAAAATTTGATAATCCGAAAGGTAGGTGGTCCGAATCTATTCGGATTAACGAGGTTGTACTGTATTACCTAAATACCTAATAGCTATGATGACAACTCAATTCTTCTTGGGGGGGGGGGGGGGCCCCCCCCTCCCCCCGTAAATACGCCACTGGGATAAAGTGGCCACAATTGTGCAATTGCGCATTTTTATTTTTGTGGAGATGCGCTAAAAAATGTGTAGAGTGCTGAGGTATTCACGATGGTATTCATATCTAATTTGGTGCTTGGTTTGAGTGCACTTGGCTTAAAATGTCTGAAAGACATACATGGTGGTATAACAAAAACGAAACAGACTGAATAACTCTTAATGAAAAAGTCGAGGAAAAAGTCTTTAGAAAAAAAACGCAAAAACAAGTCGAGTTTGGTTGGAACGGGGACATCTTTAACTTTACACCTCTGGCGTCAACCTCCTAAGGAGGGTTGCCATACCTTCAATAATATTAAATTCAACGGTGGGTCGAGTGACACATCGTTGAAAGGGGCTGTTAATTTTCTACATGTCTCAGTACTCTCAGTACCTAAAAACCGAGCTATAAACCAAGGCAAAACATTGGCATCTGACATATCAGATAATTCATCAGTTGCTCTAATAGTCTTGGAGCCAGGGATCCATTTTGACGACGAAAGTGAAAGTCAGCTGGCGCACCTGCAATGAATGCGAGCATAGGAGGGTGGGAAACATGTCCGAATTTTTGTTCACAAAATCATTTTATCCGAGTGAAATTTTTATGAATATTATTTTAAATTTTACTAGGATAAAAAATAGTCATCCATACTTTAAAATCAATCGACATGAAATGATGAGGTCAAAAATGCCTCTGGCTCCCGGAATAATAGGGATTTTACGAGTCTAAAATTTTGAGGGTTGGTAGCAGGTTTTGTTATGTTGATTTTTGATGGTTTGTGTTCTTCAGGATTGTTTTGTGTAGCAAATATTTCATATGAAGGTGTTCATTCACCTAAAAGCTCGCGCAAATTTGAAAACTACGAAAATTACGAGATTTTTACTATGATGTTACTCGACCCAACGTACAAGTAAAAGTTCTTGAAGGAGTAGAAACCCTGCTTAAGGGATTAACGCCAGGAGTGTAAACTTTTAAGTAAGTGTAAACCAAAATCGACCTATTTTAGCGTTTTTTTCAAAAATTATTTCCATACGAGTTATTCAGTCTGTTTCGATTTCGTTGTGCGGACACGGACGATTCGGCGTTTCGCAACTCGGCGCCGATACTATTTGGCTTTCGGACGACTCAGCTCTGACATAACTCGGCTCCGGTACTACTTTGATCTGAGAATACTGTGAGGCGCATAGATGCATAGAATACACTCTTACCCACATCGATTTTTAGCGCCTGTCCAGAGCGTTTTATCGCTTTTCAGATTCTAAATCTTCCGTTACAGGGCTTTTTACGAGCTTTAGTTGATAATGGACGTTAGATTTTCTGGAAAGCGCTAAAAGCGGGCTAAAGTGCGTTGAAAAACACTGAAGCTAAATGTTCCCTACAATAATCGAGCATATTCTATGCGTCTCCTTCGTTTTTTAAACCTTCCCTAGTTTTAGCCCCTTTCCAGACCTTTATATACTCTCCATGCTCTGACAATGACCCAAAAATTCAGGAAAACATAGAGAAGTCATTGTAAACCTTTTAAACGCATTTTGAATAATTTTCTAAAAGGATCTAGAAAATTATGACTGAGATTTTTCAGTCACTTTCAGAAAAAGAAGTCAGAAGCATATTTCTTCACCAAAAATACAAATCGATGGAGTCATTCACATACGTTAAAAAATGGTGTAAAAAGGTCTTTGCATTAGCTTCCGCAACTAGGGAGATCTAATGTAATACTTGAACATCGTGATTTATGCCCCAATTTGGTTGGTAAAATTTTCAATTGCGTTGCATAGACTTTGAAATCTTGCCTTAGGATAAAGTCCCTCCCTCATAAATGGGGGAAATGCCCTGTATGCACGTGCCATAAGTTGTGCACGGAAACCCCGGCAGATAATTTATTATAATAAAATATTTTTGCTTGATAACTTCGTATGACTTGAAACCGTAAAACCAGCTAAAGTGCAGTTTTCATATACACAATAGATGCGCCCCTCAAAGTTGACGAATAGATCTAGTATAAACTTATCAAACACTGCAAGAATCTCGTTTCATCCCCCATAGGCGAGATTTCTGCGGAAATAAAGTTGTAGCTGAACAATGCGTGCTCAGTCCGCGATTTTCATGAATGTGAATACCAAATACGGAACCGAGTAAATTCTAGCGTATTAATATAATAACCACCTCTCTAGCCTCAATGGCAATGTACCTACAATACAAAGTGTTCTTAAATTTCCTGTCGTCACAGAACGAATGAGCGTTCAGCTTAATTGATTTTAGCTAGTTCGTGAATTAGTAATAAAGTTTTTTTCATTTCATACAGTTCGAAAAGCACAGGTAATTTCATTAGCATAAGTTTTAATTAAAAATTCCAATTTAAAATGTAAATTTCGTGCAACTATAAATAAAATATTAGTACATACAGATCGAACACCGGTATGGGGCATATTTTTGGTGATATTTTACCTAGCGGCCGATTTTCGTTACATAATTAATTTACACTGGACAATTTTGTTGGAATATGCAAAATTTCATGCAACCGTCCAGATTTTTCAGCTGAAAATATCTTCCGGGCGCTGATTTATGTGGCGTTTCGAAATTACATTACACTAAATTTACTTTTAAAATCTCATGCAAGTTTTTCGTATCACCGTGAACTGGGATACTTTTGTAAAATATAATTAGATATCGGTGAAGATGGTGTAATAAAGTTATAAAAGTGCGACATTTATTAACAGAACAAATTAGAGATCCATTCGCTACTTTGCGTTTCAATTACGCAAACGGGCCATTTCTCTTGATCGCGGTGCACAATTAATTACACCTTTGTTTTCTTCATGTTTTCACTTCCAAGTAATAAAACAGCCGAGGTAACTTCCGCAAGATTCCTTATTTGCGTAAATTTCGTGCAATTTTTAAAATAAATTTGTTTTATTATGCAAACATAGTCATTAGTGCGGTCTAACCGCAGGCCTATTAAATTATGAATGGATATAACGTGTCACAATTCTTGGAAACGTTATGCAAGCTGACCACAGAAACGGTGAATGGGACATTAACTGATTTTCTCTACCGGCGGCGGCGTAGGTGTAAGTATATTCATAAATATTTACGATTTTACAGGATTACTCAAAAACCGTGGACCCTTTGTAATCTTAACGTTCCAGCAATGTATGCACAAAATATTCTCAAAGGATTTGGGTATTATAAATAGAGGGGTAGATTCTTATCTGTCTACGCTACCATGAAACAAAGAACCCGTCAATTATTTATTATCCTTCAAAGTTTAAAACGCGAAAACGTCGTCCAATCATCTACTTTATGAATGAGTCATTTATTACATTCACGAACTGTGCATGATGACAATAGTTCGGAGTCGTAAAAAGAACGGATTAAACCAACGATGTAGAAAATCGTTACTGTCCGATTACTATTATTGTTGAATTATCGATCGTGGGACCACACAAGTAAAATTTAATGATTCGTATTAAGGATTTTCAAATGATCTCCCTAAAAAAAAGCGACGTTATAAAAAGGAATGCCTAATAATAAAGTAGAAAAAACAAAAAGGAAATCGTTCCACGTTTTCAAACTCAAATATATATTTAATATGTGTCACATTTTCGTAATTGTCAGACTTTCCCCGACCGTTCAGAAAAAAAATACGGTGTAGCAGATCGTTTGTCCAAGTAGATGGGGCGGAATCAAATGTAGAATGTGATTTGTTTTTTAGCTTCGTTTGAACTATCTAAAGTGTCCAGAGTAGCCAATTTTAGTATTAACGATAAAAAGTTCGCTCCCGGAATTAGCCGCAGGTATAAGAGCATCAGATGAGGAATGGTCTACATGACAAGAATGTAGATCGATACAAGAAATTTGAAATGACATTTTTCTTGTATGACGGCAAGTAGTAGTGGAACAGTTAAATCTTGATGGACAACTCCGTCAGGTTTAACTACAATTTCTTCAAAATTTCTTCTAATATTTAGCCTTTGTACTTATTTATACATGACAAAATAACCAGTTTTCGGTTCATCACCTTTGGGTTTGCCATGTCTTTGACTGAAACAGTGTCTTATAGGAGTGTCAGTAACAAAAGAGCTAAAGGCCGTATGACACCATACATTTATATCGTTTCTTGTTTAGTTTCTGATGTCATATAACAATTTCTTGTATCAGAAACAATACAAGAAATGCATCTAGATTGTCTGAATGCTTTTTAACGTATAAACAAAGGCAAACCTACATTTCACTCAACTATTAAATCAATAAATAAATTACACTTTTATAAAACCACATGAGACGTACACATAAATCTGTGTTATACTGAACAAAAGTTAAGGAAGGCACATTAACTAAACTTCTTAGATCCTTATTTATTTTGGTCCACTTTACCATCCACTCATTTACATAGCCATAGCTTTCATACAGACATTAATACCCACTGTTTCTCTAGCGGGGTTGCAACCAAAAAATTTCAACCAATCACAAAATATAATGCAATTTACGAAAGTTTTACAAAGTGATATCTCGAAAACGATTTTTATGAAATTTTGGACTGAAGGGAATATATAATTTCTATAATATTACAAGGAACAATATTTATTTATTTATTTATTTTGCCTTTATTTTTGAGTGGGCGGGGTTTCAAGCCAAGACAATATACAGAAGGGAAATTTATTTGGAAACTACAATTTTTGAAAAGAAGTTTTTTATGGCATCCACATGACACCACATAACCAAATTTAAGAGAAAAACTCAAATTATGGAAAATACTTGTTTTAATTCATTTTAAAAAACGTTAATCTTTTGTTTGTTTTTCCAAAGCAATTTGTTGTATTAAAAATTATTAAATTCGCAGCAAGTATACAAACTATGTTCAGTGCGTTAATTTAGCTTCTAAAGAAAAAATTGTAAATAAAAAAAACTATTTGGTATTATTATAAAGAAAAACTAAATAAAAAAGGTTAATCAAGTAGATAATTACTTTGACATAGCTAATAAGGGAATACGTTTCTTTTTCAACACAATTTAGTGAATGAATTATACTATTTTACTTAATTTGAGCTTTTCTATTAAATTTTGTTATTTAATATAACAATTTTTTCACGTCTCTCTATCCAAAAAGGTGTCATAAAAAATATATGCCGCTGTTGACTGTGCAGACGTACTCGACTGACCACAATGTTAATGTTCGTGATAAAAAGCTTCTTTGAAAAATATTGTTTTGAACATATATTCAGTGTTCCATCCGGTATAAAAATATACAACAGTGTGACATCAGCCTAACCATTCAAACTGGAAAAAAGGTCTGGAAGTTTACTTTGCCACATGGCATGACTAGCCCAAAGATGATGATTTTCTTTAATTTCCAGATTTTTGCGGCAAGCAGTTCCTTTTCTGCTTTTAACTTTTCTAAAGCGCACAGTCTGACTATATTATTGTGTTTTGGGGAATATTTTATCGGTTTTTTTGACATTGACAGTTAGACGAGAAAAACTGTCGATTAATAAAAATACGGCACCGAGGTATTACACGTTATTAATATTTCTCCTTCATGATTTGGTCCTTACTAGATTTACGGCCAATATCGATTGATAGGTCCATAAAAAATGAATGGGGATATTGATACAAACTATTATTTCATGGTAATCACAAACAAAGCGGAAGTACGTGTTTATTTCGTAGTAATACGACTTTACTTACATGAAGATACCAAGAGAGCCATAAAACGTTTTTATCTCCTATTTAGTTCTGCATCTTTTGCATTAGCGTCTGGGGGAATTAAAAGTTATTTGATATTTAGGTGCAAGAATACCTATTTTGCAACCGGTTCGGAACACATTAAGCAGGTAATGAAGAAAAATCGTTTGTCCAATGGTGCATATAAATGGGTAGCAAATCTGCTAATTTAATATATCGTAATTGGATTTTGTGAAAAGTACGTAATAACGGACGGTAAATAGGTTCGTTGCATTTACATACAGTAAATTTCTTCATTTCTCTCTCGTATGTGGAAATAACAATGCATTCGGTAGTAGAAGTAGATGGCTTGCAGTGTTCTAATAAAAACTGCAATATATGTGCATATTACACACGCTTTTCATTCCATTCCGGTTACTACTTTTGTATCGTTTGTGTAGCGCTACTTCTACAAGCTTTCAGATTAAAACAGAAGGAAAATTTCAATTTATCGTTCTATATGGGCAACTGTGGAACAGTTTTTACGCTTCAATCTTTCGAATGTGAAGCGCGAGCTTTTAAAAATCAAGAAAACACATCGTTATATTGCGCGGAATACAAAAGGGCCGCAATTAATTTTTGAAAAGATAAATAGTTCTTGCCAGACGGGCATGGAACGAAAAATCTCGTTAGCCGCATTCAGCAAATGTTATATAATTGCATTACTTGCTACCCGTTTTAAAATACTAAAGTTTTTCTCTTGTTAGGGTCTACGACTAATGGCAAAGTAATTAGAATTACAGTAGGTATATAGAGGCAAAATTACATAATTCACATCTAAAGAAGGCGCTAATTATGAAATTTTGTGCCCGCAAATATATACATCCACAGTTATATTGAGTATATTGACAAAGAGTCGTGGTCTTTTTTTATAAATGATTTCTCTTTATTCAAGAATTCGGTGCCCTTTTCGCCGCAGTGAAGCACTTTTGTGCAGCCGCAGAGAAAATAAAATAATGCAAAAATGAAATTGGCCCAGGAAACTTTAGGTAGCCGTGGATTATTTGGAAACCACATTTTCTTTCTTTAAATACCATTTCGTGAATGAAATCCATTCTGATTAAGCCTTTTTCTCAGTGTACTTAACTGAATTAAAAAAAATTCGTTAAGCCGCTTATGAGCAAGAGGCGAAGAGTGCACTTTCAAATTTGTTTTTTCGATTTTAATGGCCCTTATGGACATTTCATGCTTTAACGAGAATACAAACATGAAAGAATTTCTGATTTATTTATTTATTTATTATCCCTCTCTTGTTCTGGGCCCTCAACAGGCTTGCACCCAATTACAGAATGACCCGCATAATGCTTTTTAGAGGTGCCTCTGCAGAAGGTCTAGTTGTTCTATACTACTCCGGTATTTACTTTATGAATTAGGAAAACTGCAGGAAAACCTAATTCGGAGTAGCCATAGTGGAAGAGAAGTTGTGAAAATTGTTTTATCGGGCAGTACCAAATAGCAACTTTGAAGGTATCTATCCTATCCCTCATTGAACTATAGAGTCCCTCAAGATGCACTTTGATATGCGTCGTCAAATTTTACCCAAATCTGTACTAGGAACACGGAATTCATCAAGTTTATCTTGAAAACACTCTTGGTGAACTATGTTCGTGTTCGAGCATCGTCACCCCAAAATATTTTTCGTGAGGTTTGGAAAGTCCCTTACTTAACACCCGCCCTTTTGTGCTTAACAGTGGAAGAGTTCTTATTCACATCACACTTGCTACCCTCGTCCCCTTAATATATACGTGCAAGCTGGGGATTTCATTCATCAAATAAATAATAATATAAAAAATTATTGTTGGCCAAGTGCATTTAAGACAGGTTTGTAGAACATAAGTCTCACGAGGATCAATTCCATCCAGACTTCTATTACTTTAACTTATTCCTTTTTCCTCTCCGTCATGCCACTTGCTATGAAATGCGCGTGTACAGAGTGCAATAACATCGTAAAATTATTTGCAAGTCGCGTCATTCTAAAGGTATGCACAAGTAGACTGAAAGTAAACCGAATAGAATCCACCTCTGACATGTTACAAGATTCCAACAGACGTCTACTTAAACATACAGCACTGTTGAACTTATTCCGCTTTATGGTCACGACTCATAATCGTATTATTCATTTTATTGCTCCTTACTTTTCTGCTAAAACACGTACGCGGACTAATTCTTTAAACATAATAACGATAACTGTTATTCAAGTTTATATAAGCGGCACGCACTCCAACAGTTAACCTATTGAACGTAGAAAAGCAGACGCTTGAAATATTAAACAGCTTCGAGTGTGAGAGATTTGCGTGGAATTGGATGCATCTCGTGCGCTTTTTGGAAGGATTTTACAATTTGTTTAGTGGATAGATGTAGACAAGCGTATTTGAACGTTTTGGACGTATATCAGATTCAGATTTAAATTTGTAGCATTTTGCCACTCTCTAGATTTGGGATTACTGACAGTTTTTTTTTGTTTCAGGTAAGCCGGATTACAATAAGCAGTTGCAGAAATTCAAAATCTAAAAAGGTTTGGTTTTTTTCTTGGTCGAAACGGAGTCAAACATTTCATCAGAACCGTTAACTTTTCATGGGTCGCATCGACATTTAAATTTACACAGTTAGTACACATGCCACTTTTTGGATTATTCTACATTTTTACATCAAAATTTTGGGTTAATCTTTAAAACACAATTTTGAATGCATTTACAAACTATGGGCAAATATATCAAGTTTCATAACTCGTTAATGGGAGTCGACGCCATGGAAAAATGGAACAGGTAACATTTTGCCATATAATTCCAAATCGTTTTTTATTCTTGCATTTTTGTAATTACCAACATAAACACTCGCAAAAGTACCTACTTTAACAACTCGTATAATTACCAGTAATTTATAAACTGGTAGCAAATAAACTTGAAACTCTTCAAGTATTCCGTGTGATGATATTAGCGTTTATCACGGCATAATGGTATAATAAAATTGCAGCTACTATAAATGATATCACCTATAACATAAATAAGAAAAGTTGTTAATATCTACGACAAATAGTGATATGAGACAGCAAATGATTTTATACTTTTTATTTTCTGTATGTTATTAATAACTATAAAATTATTTGAATAGTAATTAATAATTAGTGCTTTTTTATTCATTGACTTAATAGTGGTTTTTGTTATCATGTACCTACTTTACGCAAGACTGCATTGCGAATAATTGTGCTGTTTATTGTATTTCGCTCTTACGAAACTAACGGTAATGCTACAGAAAAGTAGTTTATGAAAATTTCTAAATGGACCTCCATAATATCTTTACTAACCACCCGTAAGTAACTAATTCCAAAAGTGAATTAAATATCAAAAATCGTCTCATATTTAGTTTTTTTTTATAAATTTTCATTTTTTTATACAATTGATGATCGTTTTAGGTTACTCGTATAATCCATATAAGAAAATGGCACTACTAGCATAAGATTTTAGATACCACTACTCACCAAGTGATGCAGTAATTATCCTCTGTTCTTGTTTCTTGCGTAGGAAAAATGTATAGAAAATGTCACCGATTTTCCTGCCCAATTAACTTTTTACTTAGTGTCCAAGTGACTTTACATGCTGTCCACCTACACTCCTTGGCGATGATCAAAAAGTTATTTTATTAGAAACCGCGCAAATCAAAAGTTGATAAGTGCAAGACAAAGATTCGCACTTTGTGGGCACCCTCCTTCGACACTCCAGTTCTGCAGATATTTGCAGTAAAAGTTTTGACATCACATGTGTTTCACCCAGACGTTTCACTTGGCTTTTATGAGTACCACCAATGTCTCGTCCAAACGATTCATTTTACCTTTGTGAGTATCCTCCTCCGACAATCCATGCTTGAGACACACGATATGGAAGGGGAAGAGCAGAATGGTTATAGAAATTAATTCCTTTCATGGAGACCTTTCATTAGAGTACCATGTAGAATCAAACCAGGGTCTCCTCTCAGTTTTGATAGGAGTAAGCGAGAAGGGCCGTAGCTGGTAGCCTTTCGTTGAGACCCTTAATTAGAGTACCATGAAAGATAAAACCAAATTATTCCAGGCTTCTAGGACAATTCTCTTAAAAGTAGGTCAAAATCACAGAAGTGGGTCCGGATGGACGGACTAAACGCAAAGCTTAAGAATGCACTAAACATGTGCTATTGCGTTTTGTCCGTCCGTCCATCCGAACCCACTTCTGGCGTGTTGAACTACTTTTAGGGGAATTGTCCTGGAATGTTTTGCAATAAGTAGTTGGAGGTGTACCAGACGAGCATCAAATTTCTGTGTCTTACAGCCCCCCCCCCCCTCTCCGCGAATTATTTCCTTTTTTGAAAGTAAAGCGTTGCTTTTTGGGCCAACCAAAAAAGTTTGAAGTGAAAATGTTAAAAAATTCTCAAAAATTTCGTCGATTTTGGTTGGAATGGGGCCATCTTTTAACTTCAAAATTTACACAGCTGCTGTCAATCTCCAAAGCAGGGTTGCCACCCCTTCAATAATTTTAAGTTGAACGTTGTAACGAAAGGGCTCTTAATTTCCTACACGCCTATGAATGGTGTGGTCATTTTTGAATTTGAGTCAATCAAACATCTATATTCAATTTAATTTGTGCTCGAAATTTTCATGTGTTAGAGTGAAAAATGTACTCAACAGTTTGAATTTTATCCATAAATATGCAAAATAAATCGGTCGACGAAACTACGAATGCTGTATGTGCCTTAGGGGGCTTCGAGGGTTGGTGCATCACACAAAAAATTATTGTTAACTTGCACCCTGAAAATGAATTTTAAAGCTACAAAAATGATGAGTTTTTCGCAAAAAACAAATTTATACACTCGCAACAAACCAAAAGATATTTAAGCTTCCTTTAACATTATGCAAATTGTCCGAATCTGTAGTAATCCAGTTAAAAATGTCAACATTTGCAAAATGAAAGTAATCAATTTCAACGAGATTCCCCAGCAACTTTTTGTACGTATTCACAACAAAAATACTTTGAAAGCGAAGTTCGAGGTGAATCTTCCAACAATGGCTTTACGGATCTGAATCAAGGACAAGGCGTGTA